GCTAAATATTGACCTAGTTAAGTTTGAACTATGAATCTAGGAGATGGTAGTGAAACTAGAATTTTGGATATAAGTACACTACTCATTAAATACTTGGATGCTTATGGTGATGAACTACAAGGATGCTTCAACGTGGGATCTTATGATAACGAGGTTTGTTTCTCATTTATCAGAGTATAAGAGAAATCTTTTATAGAATTAGGGAAGACTTACTCTCACCGAAAGCTAAACCTTACGGTAGCCAATGCCCCTAATTATTAAAGTCTTTGTTAATAATGTCTGTTACTGTTTCCAAAAAACTAGAGTCCATCCAATACAGGTTCTTATGGGGTGATTCAAAGAAACAGAGGAGAGACCATCTTGTGGCATAAGATGTGGTAAAAGAAGCTCTTTGATTGAGGTTCATAAGGCGCTTTAAGTGAAATGGTTGTAGAGGTTTATGCTGGAGCGTGATAGTAAGTGCTAAGTTTGGCACGAAGAATATGGATTGGTATACAAGGATTCCTTCTAGGCCACATGGTATTGGGTTGTGAAAAGAATATGCATGTAATAAATGGGGAGGTTAGTCAGGTAATTTTGATAAGCGTAAGTCTCCCCTTTTTGGACAGGAGATTTCTCTTCTATTCTGCCAATCTCCTTTTGAACCTCTCTACCACAGTATCCGACATCCTCACATCTTTATAATTGATCTCCAGTGGTAATCTCAGTTCCACACTTTTACATCCTATAACTTTTGCCAACCTAGCAGCATCCCTTCCATCACCCAATCTCACTAAGCTTTTACATCTTTATTTTTGTTAAATACTTATTGATTCACTAAGTTTTGGCTCATAAGTTTCAAGATTACCTCAGGACTAAAGGAAAAATACAAGTACTTTGTCAAAAAGGAACTAATAATGGGAGATTGTTATCACTCAATCCTTTGTTATCTCAATATTTACTTCTAGATGTATATTTTGTACTTAACTAGACTTCCACTGTATATAAATTAATGATATTTCCATATAGTTAACAATGTAAAATATGTTTGCATATGTCTTGTATTATAATTGTACAAGTTTGAGGTTGATAAGAAATTGTATATTCCCTTAATTAGTTAAGAGAGCAAGAGTTTTGATAACGAAGGTTAATATTTCATTTTCATAGTTCTCTAAGAACGGACCATGACAGAAAAGGCCATACAAGTATGAGGAGAAAATTTAAGACTTTGTGTTAAGAGTTGTAATAAACTATGAATAGAAATCTTTTACCTAAAGAAAAAAAATTAAACTATGAATAGAAATAGGCATGAGTTGGCTATGTAGCAGAGTTACCTAGTCAGGATCAAGGTCTATGGAACTAGAAGTTGGAAGTTGCATAAATTATTTAAAAATATATAGAAAACAGAAGAAGGATCGAAGTTAATTTGCGATTACGATGTTGAATTTGGAATTATGGTACAACTTAAGAGGAGAGATGCTCTATTTAATCAAGTTTTGCTAATATCAGCTTTGATCAATTGGGAACAAAACCAGGCCTTAGTCAACTTGTAAATTTGAATATGACCGAAAAAATTGTAAGCACAATAAAATCAGTCAACAGTTCAGACAAAGCTAACCTGAATGGATTGAGCAATCTGTGTTACAAATGCTGGAGGAAGCTTCAAGTCTTTGACAGTCCTTTTTGCAAAGACCACCACCTCCGAATCTGGGTCTATACCAACCAAATTTCATTCTAAAGAAATATATAACGACAACCAAATAATTAAGGAGCAGTGCAAAATCTTGGCGAGAAAAAGCCATACATAATGAACAGCCTGAAATTCATCAAAGAGAGAGTTCCGCAAACAGGTATATTTAATAAAATATAGAGATGAATAAGCACTTCCCTACCTTGTTATATTCCATAATGAATGAAAAGGTGAAAACTAGCATGTGTAATTATCCAAAACAGAAAAATAAACAAAAACAGAAGACATTAGCATCGAGTCCTCCAGGTCTCCAATTAAATAAGGCTTCCTTGTTTAACGATGTTAAATTTCAAAGATATTGGAATTTTTTTAGAAATTTGAATATTACCCACAAAATGGAAAAACCAAAAAATAGACAAAGCAATTAAGAATGAAGAAGAAAGTGGAGGATAAGAAATACCAGAAGGATTCCAAGTGAAAGCATCTTTGAAGCGCTGGCCATCAATTTCAATATCCAACCGAATGGGAACCAGATTGTCAGCTGTTGGCCTGTTATCCTCGTAGAGATATTGCCCACGGTTAAAAATACAAATCATTTGGTTTTTATGTACTTTAAGATTATTAACAGGAGAGAAGGTAAATTAAAAAACTCACATCCTGAACTTAACAGGGACCTTAGAAGAAGCTGATGCAGGCGTTTTCATTTGGATTTTTTTTCTTTTGATCTAATGACTTGACCGCTCAAGAGGTCAGCTGCCTGGATACTAAGCAAGATGGATCAACCAAGGACAAACCGAGTGCTCACTGCTCGTCTCACGCAGTATTTCGTCCTCTCTTTATCTTCCTTTTCTTTTTCTACCAGGCCAGGAAAGAAGACAGCAAACTCTACCGCTATTGCCTCTAAAACAAAGAAAAACAACCAAATGGCCAATTATTACCATAAAACGAGAACACACAAGCAGTATTGAAAGCCAGCATGGAAAATCAAAATATGCAAAAACCAAATGAAAAAATCCATTTCTCCGTTAATGTTTACAGAGGCCTCGCATGGCACAAAGCTCAATCTGTACCCTCTTACCCTCCCTACTTTCATTGACTCGGAATGAAGCAGAAAAAGTTCAGCTGCGGCGAAGAAGTAGGAGTTTCGGCCTTGGTTGAGAAATGGATTTCGGCTTTCAAGATGGAGAAGAAGAAGAGGTTAAGAAAAAATAAATTGGAGTTGGGATAAATTTAAAAACTAACTCGGAATAAATTTTAAAAATATATATTTTACCATAAAAAAAACCACCAATTTTGTAATTTAAAATTTTTAAAAAAAAAGTAAAATTTACTATATAATACCATCCAACAATCATATTATCAATTTAAAAATGAATTTAAATAAAATAAAATTATAAAGTTATCATTCCGTATATTAATTATCCATTATTTAAATAAAATATTAATGTAACCATGAAAAATCATCTACTACTTTGTAACCACAAGTATTGCATCAAATATTTGTCTTTCCTCCGCAAAAATACTATTGACACTCACTAATTATTTAACATAATCGAATAAGTAAACACAACCATGCGTTATTTCAAGCATATATTCAGACACCTCGTAGGCATTCAAAATGCACAAGACAACCATAGCCTTGCAACACATCAGCTCCACTTTATTTGGGCCAAACATTGTTGAAGTAAACGCGCAGAATGTTCGAAATGCTTTTACAGTGAATGGAAAATATTGCTTCGAGTTTGATTTTATTATTGAGGATTGTAAATTTATGTCATCACGCAAACTATATATTTTAATTATTTGGGGTGATAGAAAAAAATAAACATAGTGGCTCGTAACATTGCACGGGAGCCCGCTCTCGACTTGTCTTTCGAGTATAGAAAATATTAAATCATGATATTGTTGTAATGCTATTTTAACTAATAATAATATTATGATTTAAAAATAAAAAATAAAAATTAAAGTATAATTAAAACAACACGAATCGAGCAATCGTAATATTGTAAATAAAGTTCTTAATCTCTATATTATAAATTGAAGTGACATAAGTGAAGGGGGATAAAAAGAAAAAAGAGAGCGAGAGAGTTTGAAGATGAAGAAAGATTGTGAATAATATAAACATACAACTGGAGAAAAATATGAAAATTAGATAATAGATAAAATATTGATGAGAATCATGTAATACGAACATTTGGCAATGTGTGTCAATTATAATCATGAAAAGTAATTATTATTATTATTTTTTTATAAAAAAGTGCATATTTCTCTACAAATTTTGCGATACTTGTTTATATATTTTAGTTTTATTTTTATTTTTAAATGCAAATTAATCGATATTATAAAAATTGTAGTCAAAAGTTGCACTCAAATATTACCATTAAACATTATAATAGTTAAAATTAAATAATTATGTTTTTAAATATACTATTTGTATAATGTTATTTTAGTTAAATGTTTTTCTTATCTCTTTATTAATTAATAATATTATTTAAAAAATAAAATGATAATGTAGATGGTAAATATTAAATAAAAATTTAAACATTACTTTAAAAAATTGTTCGTATAACCTATAGTTGAATATCTATAAACTAAACTTGCAATATATATATATATATATTTCATACTCTCTTAAATTTATATTTGATTGATTCCACATTAACAAGTTTACTTTATTTTTTAAAATTATTTAAATATTAAAAAAATTTAACTAAAATTAGAATGCGTTAAAATAAAAGAGAGCAATTGATTTACTGATGTTAAAAAATAAGTATTTTGGAATCATTTTAAAATTTAAACAAACGATAAACCTTTGCTTCCATGGCTGAAAAACTTGAAAGGAAAGAACCAAAAAGCATGATGAAAAGCAGGAAGCTAGATCGAGGAGCAGCGCAGAGATAGTCTGATAATCGCATATGGCGAGAACGCAGAGTAGGCCTTTGGAGGAGAAGACAAGCGCGAGGAAGGGAAGTCTCGGTGCCGGTGACTGAAGGTGAGGATAAGTGGAGAGAAGTGCGACTTACGAGTCCCTCGTTTGTTGCTGAATTCGTTGCGGTTGCAGGACCTCGGAGGCGTGCTTCACCAGCTTTCAGCTGTAGGGAGCCCAGTCAAGAGGGTGGAACCGCATTCGCAATCAAAAGGTGAAAAAAGCAAGGAACCCCAAAGGAGTTTCTGACGCCGAAAGGGAGGAAGCTGAAGAGAGTGAGAGGCTAGAAGAAAGGACGATTCTGGAACAACCCTAGAGGCCGCGAATA